CTCCCGGTTCCCAGTAGAGGGATGTAAATCCCAGGCCCCAGCCCACAACTCTCTGGCCCATAGCAATAAGCCTTGCAGTATAGGCTCTGAAATGTGGGTCTCACTGGGTTGCCAGAAAACATAGGGCTAAAGAAAGGAGAGACAGAAAAGGCTGCAGCTTTTATAGGGAAATCTAGAACGATCCCTAAGACAAATTGGGTATTCTGATTAGTAAAGGTTTACCACAGGGTGCTTGGACTGGAATGAGACTGGGAGTTCGGAGGGCTGGTCTCAACCCTCTCTGGACTTCGTTTGTTCAATGAGGATAATGTTGTCCATCGCATACATTGGCATGAACAAGAAATGGGATAATCCACGCAACAGTCCTTTCTGAGATCTGAGATGCTACGTCAGTGTCAGTTACACCCTGATGTCACTGAGTGGCTAATTTGAAACAATAGAATTAAGGAACTATCTTCTCTCCTCTAACTTTTGCTCGAGCATATGAATTATCCCGTGGGAATCCAGAAGGCATCTCTACTCCTCAAGCTCTTCGCTTTCACTTTGGGGAGTAGCTGTGGCCGTGTAAACTCCCTAGGTATTCGGAATTTGTTTGGGCTTCTGGCTTACTAAGAACATTTCTGTTTCAGGGCCAACAGGTGAGATGGTAGTTAAGGCCCTGGATCTCACATGGCCAACTGCTCAGTTCAAATCCCAGACCTGGCGGCACATCAGGCACATGCATGACCAAACTCCCAAAAGGAGAATGAAAGAGAAGAGGTTGTGGTGTGGCCATATCTCCAGGGAGGTGATTTATCTCTCTTTCTCTCTCTCTACCTCTGGTGAGTGCACATCACATGCTCTATAGCAAAACAAACAAACAAACAAAACAAAACAAAACAAAAACCTCTAAAAAGAAAAATTTCCCTCTTCACATGAGTAGGACCTTGGAATATTCAACCTGGACCAGAAGCTGCAGGAATTATCTAGTCTAGATTTGAACCCCAAAGTCCTGGGTGTTCAAATTACTTGTGTCTGGTGGCTATGGGGTGGGGTTAGGTGAAGCCCAGGGCTCTGGGGCTCCTACTTTAGTTCACCTGCTAGGTTTTGAAAGACTGCTTCTGACCAAAGTTTTCATGGCTAAAACAACTTCGAAAAGTGTCAAGATAGTCTAAATTATGTGGAGGAAAACTAAGGCTTAGAGACAAAGAATTTGCAAAGGATTTGCTATGAGCTGAATGTCTCCCCAAAACTCATGTGTTGAGGTTTGGTGCTGACGAGATAAAGAGGGTGAAAACTCAATCCACTATGCTGTTGAAAGGTGGAAGCTTTGGGAGAAGATTAGGATTAAAGACATCAGGATGGGGCTCCCATGACTGACTCCTAGTGGGTTTATAAGGAGAAAAACAAGAACAGAGACACCTGGATACAGACATTCACTCTCTTGCCCTCCGCCGTGTTGAGATGCCACAAAAGACCGTCATAAGATGTGGTTCCTGGACCTTGGACCTCAGACCTTCTAACCATAAGCAGAATAAACCTCTATTCTTTTAAATGACTCAAACTCAGGTTTGTTTGTTTGTTTGTTTGTTTGTTTTTTTCCATTGTTAATAACAGGCTCCACCAGTTCAGGGATCTCTGTGAATTAGAGTATAGACTTTCAGATTTTCCCACTAGGGCTCAGTCCATGGCCTTGACCTTCCTTCAGCAGCCTTTGTATTCCAAAGGTCAAATGGTCTGGGGGAAACAGGAGAGAGCTCTGCAGGTGAGACGGGAGGCCTGGCCTGGGGAAGTTGCTGAGGAGAGGGTATGTCTATTTCCTGGGGGTGAAATAAAATGTGTTCTCTGAGATCTTACATCTGCTGTAGCACACTTCTAGAGACATGGGTATTTGGGATACTGCCATCCTAGTGAGGCGGGGACACTGGGCCCATTGACTCTGCCCTAAAAAAATCATTTCCTTGATTATATCAGAATCCCCTACCCCATGAGCTGACCTGGCCCTGAGACCTGGTGTTCCACAACGTTCTCTCAAAATTAACAGAAAGATCCCAAGATATTCTAACAACTCATTGATAGGAGCAAATATTTTGGAGCTCTACTGACATTTGCTTCCTTGTCACTGTAAGGGAAACCTCTCCATATGAGACATTTCAAACCTACCTGTTTACAAGAGTCAAGCAGGTGAGTGAGTGAGGTGACCTAAGCATGAACTGGTGAAGGACATGTTAAATAAAGAAGGTATTCACCATTACCCTGCTGTGACCGTAACCTTCTCCCAAGATCTCATCTTTCTATGAGAAGCCAATTTCCAACTTTCTATATGACATCCTCAGAATTTCAAACATGCTCTATTTAAAACACCTCAGGAACACTAAACAAGTCAAACAAAAGTCACCAGAAGGTCACAGCCTACCCAGAAGCCACTGGTTTGCCACTTGTTTTTGATTTTACAGTTTTTGAATAGTAACACTCTATTTAGTTTTATGTTTTATTCTCACTTTCAGATAAAGCAACCAGCTTTTCCTAGTTCATCCAGAAGTTTCCCAGCTTTAGCAGTAAAAGCTGTGTGTCCTGGAAACTCCTCAATCTGAGGCAGCTCTTGCCTGAGAGAGGCAGTTCCGTCAGTTGCTTCTGAGAGGTGATGACTCACCAAAAGGTATTAAAGCATTTGTGGAATCAGTCAGAATCCAGATTGAAATCCTCTCTCTGATACTTAACCACCTGAGGCATTGGGCATGCTCTCCACCTCTCAGAGGCCCAAGTTTCCTCATAAGGAAAATGAAATATTAATACCATCTACTTCTTTTTTTGAGAGAGAGAGAGAGAGAGATTTGCTATAGGGTATGTGCACTTGCCAAAGGGACAAAGAGAGAAACAGAAAGGGAGAGGTCACTCCCAGGGGGGATGGCCACGCCACAATCCCTTCTCCTCCATTCTCTTCTTGGGATTTTGGGCATGCACGTACATGCGTCCAGCATGTGTTTTAAGCTACTGGGTCTGGGATGAGAACCACAGTGGACTATATGGAACTCCAGTGACATAACCATTACGCCATCTGCTGGTCCCAATAGCATCTACTTCCAAGAGTTGTGAGTGTCTGAGAAGCTGAACAGGAAGTGACAGGCCCAGTAAAGACAGTTATAATTACTGGGTGAGTGCTGGTGGTTTGAGTATGTTGGGCCTGATACCTACCAACCTTTGCCTCTGCTGACCAGAAGCTTCACACCTCCCATGCTGTCCCCACATAGGTGCCTGCCAATCTTCTCTTTGGTCACTTAACTATGCCCATTGAGTTTTAGAGATCAGACTGTCTGTGTTAAGGGAATAGGATGCACCTGCACATGAGCCCCTCCGAAAGGCTTTGCTCAACACAAAGACTATGGTCCCACATATACTTGGCAGTTTGAGTTGTTGCAATCTGTATCTGCAGGTGCTGATGCGAGGGAAGGAAGGCCTGCTTATACCTCTTTTTTGCTCCTTCAGACCTTCAAAGAGATAGAGGCTGGTCATCAAATCCAGCTAGAAGCATGGGCCTTCTAAACTGGTAAACTGTTGAGATAAACTGAAGTTATGGGAAATTTCTCCTGCAGCTTCCTATAGGGTTACCATGAATACTATATCTTAGATTATTTGCATTATAAACTGGGCAAAGCAAAGCAAAAGACTACTATGTATTTATATAAGAAAAAGGGACCAGCAAGTGGCATAGTGGTTAAATCACTGGACTCCCATATGGCTCACTGTGGCTTAAGCCCTGGACCTGGTGGCTTGAAAATAATGTGCATGTATACCCAAAATCCTGAGAGGAGAATGGAGGAGAAATGATTGCAGCATGGCCTTATCCCCTGGAAGGTGATTTTTCACTTCCTTCTCTCTGTCTCTCTCTCTCTCTTTCTGATGAGCGCATATACTCTATGGAAAAAAAATAATTAAAAAGAGTAGTATTTTATTTGCATGTGTTTATTTTTTGACAGATGCAAGTCTGTCAAATCACAGCTTCATTTGAACCAACAGTTGTTCTTAGTATTGTTCTGTGATCTGTTTTTTAGCTCCCCAAAACTACTAACTGAAAAAGAGAACATGTCATGCCGACCTACTCAATTTCTAAGGAGTTATTTGAAGTTGTTGAATCTGTACTATAGGGCTTTCAAATTCAGTATTGAATAAATATCAAATTCCTCAGGAAACAGAAATGGCTCCAAAGAGATTTTCCCCAGGGTCCTAAGATCTGTAAATCGAGATAATTCTACGCATTACTGCCCGAGTATGGAAATTACCAACAAAAGAAATTAAGAGCAGGGACCCTGTGATTAGACTAATGCATTGATCAAGTCGTTCTTCTCTGTTTCACTGCCAGCACAGCACATAAATAACATGTGGGCAATCACTGTGAGTAAATTATATGTGTTTTATAACCTTCCATGAACATTTTTCCTTAAAAAAAAAAAGGCAAAACAAAAATATTCCTCAGTGGAATTGAGTATCAGAGAAAAGAGTAAAATATGTTTAAAGAATTTCAAGGTGGGATGCTCTCAGTAACAGCAGTTAGGCTGGAGATTGGTTTCTACATAGATTTCAAGTGAATCTCTCTTGAATTCTGTCCTTCTCCTCCATGTAATTCTCCCTTAGCTTCATAACTGTCTCACTTGGTCTGCTATCTCTGCCCTTCTGGTGCTTTCTGTTTTTTTTTTTTTTTTTCCTGTGTCTCTGTCTCCCTTTCTCTCTCCTTCTGCTAAAGACTGGGAGGAACTGGGAAGAAAAAAAATACCTTTCTAAGCCCAGTGATATTATGCTAGATTTTAGTCAACAGCAAGTGGGTCATTAGGGGGTGCTATTTTGTCTGCTCCCACATTAAATGCTGCTATTTCAGGAAGAGCTTCCAGATGTGTTGGCCTCACAAAAACTCACCAACTTAACAACCTAGACCTTCAGCTGTCCAACCCAGCCCATCAGACACAGGCACCAATCCATATAAGATTTTCAAGGAGGCTACTTTCAGCCCACTCACTGTGCTTTACCATGCATGGAAGACCAGCAACCTGGATGTCCATTTTTCTTTGTCGTGCTGACCCAAGCTGCAACCTGTTATCTCTTCCTCCATCACAGGTTCATATGTACATCCCTTCATCTTCCTTCTGTTCTTCCACCATGGTGCTTGGTACAGCCATGGTACTTGGTTGAGTTCCTGCTGTCACAGAGTGCTGTTTTGTGAGGGAGACAGACAAACATACCATGTCTTACAACTTCAAGTATAGGGTGGGCCTTGTGGTCTGCCAAGGTCTTTAAACCTATCTCCTGGAATATAAGATGTTTTTTGGAGGTGACAACATCCAAGCTGAGTTTTGAAGGTAGAGTAGGAGTCTCTCAGCCTCTCATTCAAAAACAAAAATAGAAAGAGTATGGGAGGGTAAGAGCATAGCAAAGGAAATTTGGGGGAAACATGGAGAGGTAAGACACTTGTGGGACACAGATAAGGTTTATTATCTTTCGATGAGGATATGTATAGTAGTCTCAACTGGACTGGACTGAGGTATAAATCATGCTGGGTAAAGTCTATTCACAATCTAAATTATGTATAATTATTTAATGTATGGATAATAATTTAAAAATTTAAAAAAACTAAACAGAACAAAAGTCAGTGGTCAGAGGAGAGAGACACTGAAGACAGAAAATGCATCAAATCTGTCCTTCCTGTGGACAGATTTCCAACACATAGGACCTTCCTAACTGTGTTTCTGGTCTAGCTAGGTCTCAATTCCTAGATGAGACCACTGTGGTGGTTCTGGCCAATGCCAACAGATCACTGACCCAAGAACAGGAAGAACAAGAGCTTCCCCAAGAATACCTTAGCAGACTTAGTGTCAAAATGAACCGAGGTTTCTCTTCACACAAAAGTATTTACCCCCCCAAACATTGGGTAAATGTTTTTAAAACATTTAACCAGTATTGGCAAAACATAATCGCTACTAAACATTTCCTGAATTATCCCTGAGTCTGTCATTTACCCTGAAGGTCTTTTCTTTATCGCTGACAACTCCCTTGAGTTGTTTAGTTTTATTCATCAATTCTACCTCCACAAGGCTGGAAAAATAAAATAAATAAAATTAAGAGGTGCAGGCAGCCATAGCAGTGTGTGGTAACATAACGATCCATGATGTTGGGCCTGTATGAGAAGGTCCTGATTTCACATCCCAAGGTCTTTTGTGCGGACAAGATACACGTGCCCTTGACAATGATCTGGATTGGCTGGCGCTAGGGGTAGATCGGAGTCTCTCTCTCTTTCTTAGAAGAATTTTTTTTATATATATAGAAAGATGTGACAATAGTAAACATGTAGGTCACTGTAAGAATCAAGTCAGATCATGTCAATAAGTCATCCAGCTCAGTTCCTGGCACATGGTGGACAATGACTAGTATGTGTACATAAATTCCTTGACATCTTCTTAATCCACATGCAGATTGGCCATTTCTTTCTTAGGTATGAGACCAGAATAGTGAAGAAAACTAACAGGCAGGCAGTAGCCAGGAGCTCCCAGGTCTTCATTTAGACCTTATTCAGCAGCATTCACCTCACATCCTGGGTGTGCTACCTTCCTCAACATCCTCTGAAGATACAAGAGTTTGACCCCATGTAATGCACAAGGTACCCATTTAACAGCTCCTCCTTGGAGCGTATCTGAGGTCCTTACTCTCAGGAGAAGGAATTTTCTCACAACTTGGAATTTGTGTTTTCTCCAGGTTCCCAAAGGGAGGGCGCTCTTCCCTACTGGGTCTTCTGGAATCTCTGAGTGCATCTGTACCTTTGCTGGCTGAATGCCTCCCTCCTTTCCTTGGTGGGCCTTTCCCTGCTTTCCTTGGGTAGGGTCCTGAGCTAAATCTTCCCATTTTCCTCTGTGCATTCTGGCTGACTGCACCAAAATATAAAAATCTTGATTTAAGTATTTTTGTATTCAAGGACCATACGCAAGTGTTCATTTGAAGGTTCAGTGGCATTTTGAAATGAGAACATCATATATAAAGATGTCAGCGATGGAGCCTCCCACAGTGAGGTTGAAAGAGAGAGAGGAACAAAATGAATAGAAGAGTTCCTGGGATCCAAGAAATTTTAACATCTCATTATTTAGATTACCCTACATATAATTTTCCAATATTTGGTATTATAGACTTTTGAAGGTATTGGTTAAAATTACTTCATGCCTGACATCAATTTAGTCTTATTCATTATCTAGCTAAAATAAAACCTTAAAAATAGCTGATTAGAGTAAGTAAGCAATTTTCTGATAAATGCAAATTCCCCGCCATTTCCAAAGGCGCGCTCACAGCAGACAGAAATAGAAGGGCCAGGGGGTAATGGCCCTTCAGAATTTCAGCATCCTGGCACGGAACAATTGGAGTCAGGAATGCTCATGATGCCTGCAGGATTTGATCGTGTTTGAACACACCCAGCTCCCCCCAGCAGTCTGCTGCTGCTACGACAGGCCAGGTGCTCTGGATTCCACTCACCCTGATAGAGATGGTGGTGTGATCTTGTCCTCATTGCCTTGACTGTTGCTCCCTGCCCTCTGTGAGCCAGCGAACCATAGGATCAATGTGTCCCTGTCATCTCAGAATGAGCCCAAACAGATGCATCTCGGCCTCTGCTCTGGGTCTTCAGGTGGGTCCTTTCTCCCCAACCACAGAAGAAGTCCAGTCTCCCAGCCACCTTCTCAGAACCCGTGGTCCCCTCACCTGGTGGAATCTCAAACTGAATATCGCTGGCTGCCACCTCCAAACCATAGCTACACTAAATTTTAATTCTATATCTGGCACCTGTTTGCCAAAAGTTACAGAAAGAATCCACAAGGGGTGCTCATGTCAGGAATGGTATGGTAGAAGCAGGAGGAATGCAGCATCCCATGAGGACATCCAGGTTAGGCTCAGACTTGTTCACACTACAATGGACCTGCACCGAGGTCAATAGGTGCTGGTGCTTCTGCTGTTGTCATGTGGAGAATTTGAAAGAGCCTTTTCCTACATGCCAATAACTTTTGCTCTTGGGAAAAGGTTACATCTCTAGACTTCCATGGAGTCAACCATGATTCGAGTCCTGGACCGGGTGGCTTAAAACTCACGCTGGGCACATGTGTATGCATGCTCATGATCCCAAGAGGAGAATGGAGGAGAAGGGACTGTGGTGTGACCATCCCCCTTGGGGGAGGGGTGATTTCTCACTTTCTGTTTATCTCTCTCTGTCTCTCTCAATCCCCAGCAAGCACATGCACCCTATAGTAAAACATCTCAAAAAGTAATAATAATAACTTCAGCTCTCAGAGTCCTCAAAATGCCTGAATATATATCCAGAGTTACTCTTTTGAGTCAAGGCATTTTCTTGAAAAACTCCTCATGCCATGTCCAAGTGAGTCTCACGGTCCATCACTCCCACCCATGTCCATGGCTTCTCTCCCTGGACCTGGCTTCAGTTACTCCAGTTCTCATTTGCTTCCCTCCCACAAGCAGGAAAGTGCTCTGTTCCAGTTCTGAGCAGTGGTGTGATGCCCAAGTATTCCATATAAAGCTGATACTCAGCTGAAACCCACCCATACAGCCAGATCTATTGTTAAAATATTGAAATATGTCTATTTTGGTTGGCATAGTGCCATTTCCCCAAACCCCAAATGGTCCTAGCCTGCCCAGCCCTCCTTCAGACCCTTCAACTGCTCACAATCTAACAATTGTAAGGTCACTATTCTAAAAACCTGCTCCCATTCTGCCCTGTGCAATAGAGGTTGTTAAATATTTTGGATATTATTCCTTTCTCCCGTTTTCACCTCTGTCCCCAGGAGTCCAAGTCTCCACTGTCCATCCTATAGGAAGTCAAGTGGTATAAGAGTGACCTGCATTAGTAAGTGGACCATTGTCCTCCATGCTAGCTGGATCAGGCTGAACCTGACCTTGGGTTACAGAGCACACTTACCTTACAAGATGGTCAGTGGCCATCAGGCTGGCTGTTGTCTGTGAGCAGCCTTCACTGGACATGTCTGACAGTGACTGCCATAGCTCCATGCACAGCCAGTCATGCTAGTGGACAAAGGCAATGAGATAAACTCATTGTCCCTCTGCCCTGCAGCACAGTGAAGCCTGGAGGTGTCCCATTGCAGACACTGCACATCTGTGTACACAGCCTATCCTCACCTTTTCCCCAGATCTTAGTGTCTTCATGGGATCTAAAATGACCTTATCACTTATGCTTCCAAGATATTTGTCTGGGGCAAAAACTGAATGCTATGAATCTCAAAAATCCTTTTTATCCAAACATTTGCCTGTGCTAGTTTGAAATTCCTTCACTTAGATTTTTATTCTCTTTTATTTCTCTGTGCATTTCTGTTGTGACAACTCCTTTCCTAGGCTAGGAAGAGGAGCTGCCTCAGCTTTCTGAGCTGAAGATCAAGGCCAGGGGTCTGGGGAAGAGTATACAAGACCTTGTGAAGAAGTGATGGGCCACAAAACATTGTTTAGCTTTCTCCCTGGGCATCTCGTCTTCTTTCTTCTTTAATGCATTGATTACTGCCCTGCATCCCCATGTACGAACAGTTTGGAGATAGCCAGAAGACACCTTCTCTGGTGCGTGTCTTGCCATTATATTGGGCAGCTTCACCTTTCCATTTCTTCCTCCCAAAACTCAAATGCCCATTTCTTTCACCACCACCTCTTCAACCAACCATTGTGCAGGCCACATGGGCTTGCCAGTCCTGGGACTGCTCCAAGCTAGCATTACTCGTTCATTTAATTTACTGTAAAGTATGCACACTTGCCAGAGATAGAGAAAGAGAGAGAGAGACAAAGAGAAAGAGAGAGAAAGAAACAGTACCTCCCAATGGGGCGTACTCTTATAATCCCTTCTCCATTTCTCTGTCCTGTTGAGATTTGGGGCACACACACACACACACAGCATGTTTTTCAAGTTGCCAGGTCTGGTACTTGAACCATGTGTTTGGCCATGTGAGATCTGGCTTCCTTAACCACTAGGCCATGGGCCTCCATGTCGGCCATTTAAATACTCACAGTCCATGTTATGAATGAGAACATCTCTCCCTCTGGCTTTTGCTCAGTGAACCCAGATCATATGTTCTTGGCGTTGTCAACTCTACAGATGCCCTCCAACCCTCATTTTCTCCCTATCATGCTTTATTGGCGTTTCTTTTTTCCCAGCCCAAGGCCAGTC